ATAATGGCTTTTGCAAATGTCATCGTACGTTAGGTAGCGCCACTATAGTGGCTCACTCTACTGGCCCACTCGCTCACCGTTTCAATCGAATGATCGTTTTCTTGTTTTGATTCGCACTTTTTGCCTTCACCACGTTTTATAAGAGTAATAACAAATCTCTTTGCACTAATACGATATTGGAAACATTTGCAAACTACATATTTTGTGAATTTTCTAAAAAAGTAAATTATCAAAGTTAAAATACATGCATCATATCTTTAGGAAAAATTATAATTTAATCATCAAAAATTTCATTCCAATGTACTCGCGTAGAGAACAGTATTGTTACGCATTGTAGTGCTGTTCACGCGTAATTCGCATCAAACACTGCCGTACAAAGAAGCAACGTCGTGTTAAATACAGTTGTGTCTAACAGGTTAGAGGTGATGAAAATGCAAGAATAAAGTTTGTTTATTGTTAACTTTTTCGTTACGAAACCTTTATCGTGACGTTTATAGTATTTTCTTAATTAAAATAAAGAGTAATGACAGCTCGGGTAATTTCGATTCTCTTCGGTATTATTCGGATAATCACGTGATACATCTGACAGTCAAAATTGTAAAATGACTGAAGCGTCTGAATGCGGTTGAGGAAAATGATTGATAATAAAGTTTTTTGATAATGAAGATAATAAAATGATTGATAAAAATATATTGAAGTTATAATAAAGTTTCGGAATAAGCTTATCTCTCTATTTAAGAGACCATTAAAAACTTCGTTCCAATGTACTCGCGTAGAGAACAGCATTGTCACACATTGTAGTGCTGTTTACGCGTAGTGTTTAAGCGTAATTCGTGTCGAACTAAGAGGTTATAGAATTACGGCGATTCAAAACAAGGTTGAGAAACTCTGGTAAAAAGCACGCGGTAGCCATCTGAAAATTCAGTGGTTTTGCTCGTGGCATCGAATATAGAAAAGCACCATTTAAAGACAGAATCGTGACAGGAAGTTCGATCGATTTTTCCTATTTTCTAATGTGTTGTGTGTTGTTCTGCATCCCCTAAACACTTACGTGTGCTGCATTATGCGTCTCGTTACGCGACCTCCGCGGGCTGTGCAATTTACTTGGATGCAACACGTTGTCAGTTTTCCTGTTTCGACGATGCATCGACGTGCATAGGTATCGGCGGTAGGCGGAGGAATGAACTTTCTCGCGCATAACTTATGCAGATCGATCGGCCATTGTGGACGGTTACTTAATACGTTTACGAATATTAGTCATAGTCATAACACGACTGTGCCGAACGTGTCGCGTGGGTTTATAGACCGAGACCGCCTTGGCGCCTCTGCGAACGACACGATTCAAGGTACAGTCGACAACAAATCTGGTTTCCTTTCAAAAATTGTGACAAAGGGGGAATAAATCATTGGCTCGATCACATTTAGAAAATTCTTGAGATATAAATAATTTTGGAATGGGGATGTAATTTTGGGGACATTTCGATTTTAGGATTTAGGGATATAGGAATTTGACGATCTAGGGATTTGAGGATCTAAGATTTTTATGATCTAGGAATTAGAAGATTTGAGAAATTAATGATCTAGGGATTTCAGAATCTAGGAATTTGGCAATCTAGGAATTAGGGAATCTAGAAATTTAACGATCTAGGGATTAAAAGATCTAAGAATTTAATGATGTAGGGATTTCAGAATCTAGGAATTTAGCAATCTAGGGATTAGGGAATCTAGGAATTTAGCAATCTAGGGATTAGGGAATCTAGGAATTTAACGATCCAGGGATTAGAAGATCTAAGAATTTAATGATCTAGGGATTTCAGAATCTAGGAATTTAGCAATCTAGGGATTAGGGAATCTAGAAATTTAACGATCTAGGGATTAAAAGATCTAAGAATTTAATGATGTAGGGATTTCAGAATCTAGGAATTTAGCAATCTAGGGATTAGGGAATCTAGGAATTTAACGATCTAGGGATTAGAAGATTTAAGAATTTTATGATCTAGGGATTTCAAAATCTAGGAATTTAGCAATCTATGGATTAGGGAATCTAGAAATTTAACGATCTAGGGATTAAAAGATCTAAGAATTTAATGATGTAGAGATTTCAAAATCTAGGAATTTAGCAATCTAGAGATTAGGGAATCTAGAAATTTAACGATCTAGGGATTAAAAGATCTAAGAATTTAATGATCTAGGGATTTCAAAATCTAGGAATTTAACAATCTAGGGATTTGGGGATACAGGAGTTTGACAATCAAGGGATTTGAAAATATAGGAAATTGACAGTCTAGGAATTCGAGAATGTAGGGAATTTGACAATTTAGTGAAAGGAAAATTTAGGAATTTGAGAATTTGTAAATGTACGAATATGGAAGTCTAGGGATTCGGGAGCCTAATTTGAAAACATTGGGAAGCTAAGAATTTAAGAATTGAGAAATTTGTGGACATATATATTTGAGAACTTCTTAATTTATGGATATCAAAATATAAAAATCTAGGGATTCGGGAGTATAAAAGTTTCGAGACATAAGAATTCTGAAATCTGAAGACGAAATTTGAAAATTCGTATAATTAGAAATCTAGGAATGTGCAAATTTTTTGATTTAGAAATTTAAAAATTAATTTAACATACAAAATTCTAAACTTATTTAACATTAATAACTACAAATTGTACGCTATGATTCACCATCAGTATATTTATGTACGCTACGTGAAAAGGAATTTGAATTTTCCCGCCAAAATCGTAACCACGTGCATCTGTTTACAATTTAAGGTCATTGACATCATTCGTCGAACGAGTTATCAATAAAAAAACCATACTGCGTTAAAGATACCTGTGAAACAAGTTGAGAATACCTGAATGTAAATATAGTATTTTATTAGCAACTTCTTGTGTAAAATTTTTGAACCAGTAGATTAAATCTAAATTACTAAATTTCTACTTAAATTTCTTTTCTTTTGAGACCGTAATATTCTTAAAATATATTTTAAAAAAGTGAATAATTTTGGGGTCCTTAAAGCATAACTAAAGATTACAATAATTTTTTTGTTTGCTCAAGATATAAAAGACAGTGTTTCAAAATTAGAAGGTTGGCTGCCACAGTGGTTCCGTGGTGTAGCGGTTATCACGTCTGCTTTACACGCAGAAGGTCGCCAGTTCGATCCCGGCCGGAACCATTATTTTTTTCATTTTTTTTTTTTAAATGTATTTATTGTTTAAATAATAATTTAACTATTGTTAAATAACTGAATATTATTATTTTTAGAATAATTAAAAATTATTATTTTATAAATTGTTACTTCTTTTAAAATTTATATTATCAAACAATATTCATTTATTCTGTATTATTAATTTATTATTTAAATCGTCATTTTAAACATTTTGTTTAATTTTTTGAATAGAAATCTTGATTTCAGGGCAAAAATAGATTTTTTTAATGATATCAGACATTATATTAGAAAAGTGATAAGCACTGATAAGTACCTATAGTTAATTCTTGCTTTCTTTTTACAAATGAGGATTTGGGATTAATGCACTTGGCTATGAAGTAGGAGATTCTAGTGTGTATTATGTTGTAGTTTGTTGGTTTGAAATTATCAACTATATATTATATTATATTATTGTATATATTTGCAAGTATAAATTGAATATAGAAATTATAATTATTTATAAAATGAAAATTTAAATAACATTTTTATCAATATTAATTTTTTATATGATATAAACTTATATTCGCACATTTCAAAGTTTATGGTTTTGAAAATTTGTAAAATTTCTATATCTTGAAATTTATCAGTTTGAAAGTATGCAAAATAATTTATTTTCGGATTTATAAATTTAGAAATTTCTAAATCCTTGCATTTCAACACCTTTTCATTTAAGAATTTGTAAAAATTTGTAAATTCTTAAGTTTTACAATTTGGAAGCTTTTAAATTCCAGAATTTTGAAATTTGTAAATTTCGAAATTACTACAATGTGCATTTCTAATTTTGGAATTTGCAAATTTGTAAATTTGATCAATCATAGCAAGGGAATATCATGTTTTATCTAAATTTTCCATTTCCTAAATTCTTACATTTTTAATTTCTCAAACTCACAATTTCACAAATTCCAAAATCTTAAAATTTCCAAATTTCTAAATACCAAATTCTGAATACCAAACTTCCCTCATAAAGAAATCCCTAGATTTCCAAATTCATAAATCCTCAAATACCTATACTTCCAAATTTCTACACTCCCAATTCCCTTAATTCACAAATATGTCCCTAAGTTCCAATATCTCCAAATTCGTGAATCCTCAAATACCTATGTCTTCAAACTCCTACATTCCCAAACAGCTATATCCACAAATTACTAGAACTTCAAATCCCAAAGTCTCCTAATATCTGTGTATGTACTCAAATTTCTAGGTACCGAAACACCTATGTCCCTAAATATCTTAATATCATCTATAGCCCTAAATTGCTAAATCTCACCTATACCCCTAAATTGCCAAATCTCACCTATATCCCTAAATTGCTAAATTTCACCTATATGCCTAAATTGCTAAATTTCACCTATAGCCCTAAATTGCTAAATCTCACCTATAGCCCTAAATGGTCAAATCCCTACATCCCTACGTCCCCAAGTCCCTACGTCCCCAAGTCCCTACGTCCCCAAGTCCCTACGTCCCTAATACTCTACATCCCCAAGTCCCTGTGTCCCCAAATTCCTTATCTCCCCAAGTTCCTCTTCTTCCCAAGTTCCTCATCTCCCCAAGTTCCTTATCTCTTCAAGTCCCTATGTCCCCAAAAATTATTAGTCCACCATTCTTAACCCCAAAAGTCCCATATACCTACATCCTCACATCTCAAACACTTAATTACCTATCTTCCTAAATCCTCAAATCCCTATATTGCTGATCTTTCCATATCCTTAACTCATCCACAAACGTAACTTATGTATTTATCGATTATAGATGTTTTTGATATCGACTGAACAGAGTATTATTTGTTGTTTCAGATGTCCACGTGGCAGGCAAATTGACGTAGGCTGCAATGTTGCTGTCGTCGCTATGAACGAGAGCCGGTGCTACGTTGATTCGCCCGTGCTCGCTGAACATCAGCCATTCAACCGGAATGGGAAGGCAGTCAGGTGTGATTATCATAAACGTAGCCCCGCACTACCGTATTATAATACCGATCCGCGTTTAATTGCTCGCGACAACGAGGGCGTGGAGAGAAATCGTACACAGCCCGCTGATTTATCACCCGTAATTGAAGAGTAGAGATCCGAAAGTATTCCGTGCGTCACGTCGCGTTCCGAACATTCGTGTCGATTAATTTTCACCTCGATGTTCGCTCTACCCTCTTTTTTTCCTCGCAGTTTAACACGTCCTCGAAGGTACACTTTGTATCGCGATTTATTTTCGGCGGACGATCAACTTTCGAGCGATACCCTGTGATTTGAGTTTCGTACAGTCACCGGCAAACAAGATAGAAAATATTCTTTGATAAAAGGGTTAGGTTTGTTTTGAGGGATTTTGGGGATTTGAGGATTTCGGGGTTGAGGATTTGGGGGAAGACGAATTGGAGGATCTTGGGATTTCGGGAGGAGAGATGGTAATTGGACGAGTTTGTTATTTGGGAATTTAGAGTGGTTCAGTTTAGTGTAATTCTATTCGAGGTGATTCAATTTGACGAGATTTGGTCCAATGCAATTCGATTTCAAGTAATTCAATGTAATGTGATTTAGCTAAATGCGATTCAGTTCGACCCTATGTAATTCCATGTAATTCAATTCTATGTAATTTAATTCCATGTATAATAATTGAATTCGATGCTCAACTCGGCGAGATACAGTTCGATGTTATTGAATGCAATGCAGTTCAATTAGATATAATTGAATTCCAGATATGATATAATTCAATTCGATGTCGTGCAATTTGATATAACTTAATTGCTATAATCCATTTCAATATTATTCAATTCCAAGTAATTCAATTCCGGGTAATTGAATTTGACACGATTCGATTCCACTCCACATAATTCAATTCTAGGTAATTAAATTTGACATGATTGAATTCTGGATAATTGAATTCGGATGTAATTTGACTCGGCGTGATTCAATTTCGTGTAATTGAAATCGACGTGATTCAACTTGACATAATTCAATTCTATGGAACTGAATTCGATGTGATTGAAGTTCACATAATTCAATTTCGGGTAATTGAATTTGACATGATTCAATTCCACATAATTGAATTCGAATGTAATTCGACTCGACGTGATTCAATTCCGTATAATTGAAGTCAACGAGATACAACTTGATATAATTCAACTCCAAGCAATTCAATTCCGTGTAATTGAAAGTTACATGATTTAATACAATATGATTTATTCTAACATGATTCAATTTCACGTAATTGAATTCGATGTAATTCAACTCCACATAATTCAATTCCATGTAATTGAATTCGAGCCAATTCAATTATGTACACTTGAATTGAACCTCATTCAATTCGATACAATACAACTCAAGGGAATTCAATTCCGTATAATTAAATTCGATATGATTCAATTGCACGAAATTGAATTTGACTCGATTCAGTTACATATATTTGTATTCAACCCGATTCAACTCATTGTTACCTAATTTCATACAATTCAATTCTTCGCAATTCATATCAGTATAATTCAATTCTATGTAGTTCAATTCTACGTGATTTAATTTGACACTATTCAATTCCACATAATTGAATTCTATGTGATTCAACTGGACTTGATTCAATTTTACAGAATTGAATTCGAGCTAATTCAATTACATGTACAGAAATGCAACCTAATTCAATTCGATGTGCTTCAATTCAATACAATTTAATTCCACATAATTTAATTCAAATAGATTCAATTACATGTACTTGAATTCACCCCGATTCAATTCAATGCGATCCCATTGCATACAATTCAATTCTTAGCAATTCATTTCAGTATCATTCAATTCCGTTTTATGGAATTCGACGTGATTTAATTCGATACGATTCAATTCCACGTAATTCAGTTCGACGCAATTCAATTCGACACGTTTCAATTCCACGTAATTAAATTCGACGGAATTGAACTTGACTTGTTTCAATTCCACGTAATTGAATTCGACGTAATTGAATTTGACTTGATTCAATTCCACATAATTGAATTTGGCGTAATTGAACTTGACTTGATTCAATTCCGCATAATTGAATTCGACGTAATTGAACTTGACTGGATTCAATTCCACACAATTGAATTCGACGTAATTGAACTTGACTTGATTCAATTCCACGTAATTAAATTGAATCTCATTTTATTTGCGATTCAATTTAGTTTAATTCAATTCAACATAATTTAGTTCCACGTGATTCAATTCTATTATACATCCTTAGCATCTACGCAATTCATTTTAGTACTGTTGAATTCGATATAATTCAATTCAACGCAATTCGATTCCTCGCAATTAAGTTCAACACAACTTAATGATTTAGAATTCTATTTAACATGATCCAATTCCATGCGATTAAATTTAGCGTGTATTAATATGACATGCTTCAAATTAACGAAATTCCGTTTAACACAGTTCAGTTGACCGTGTTTCAATTTATCGATCGTAAATATTCCCACAGGGTTTAAGATCTTACGTTGCGTTCAGTCTGAACGATTAGCGTGCAAATTGTTCGGTCACACTAAGCGCCTTAAACACAAATGAGAACAAGTTTCTTCAGTCACGCTTTAAACTTCAATTACAGTCTCCTATGAACTTCAATACTTTACCTTTATTTTCCTCGTGCTGCGCTTTCACGGGCGGTTTAAACAAACTTTTAAAAAAGTAACTTTGTAATTGAATTAAATTTAACGGTTTTTATAAAAACAGAAATCAGGGAAATAAAATACGTTTGCAGTTGTTAAAGTAAGAACGAAGAAAGCTATCGTAACAACTTTCATAAACTTATCATTTCTTACCGTTTATATAATCTAAGTTTAAATAGCGTTTTAAATTGGCCTTTATATCGAAGAAAATCGAAGAGTATACCGAGCGCAGTTTAAGCTTGAATGTAAATTGTGAAAAGTAAGTTTGAAGAATGTTTGAACTATTATTAAAAAATCTGCCCTGAAGGTCTTAAGCCGGGCGTTCAGTATAGTGAATTAAAATATGGCTGCTGGATAAGCCCTCTGTTGTACGATTACTTTAATTCCACCAAAGGTAATGCATGTTTGGAATTTTCAGAGATAGTATTAATAGGAAAATATCGATAAACAAATATTTTCTGTTCAACAAATTTATTTCAGGAAATGATGATATAATTATTTTATACTTGCAGAATTGTTAAGAAGACTAACAGAAAATTTTAAATAAATTCAGGAATGTTATTATTAACTATGAAATTGTTGTTTTATATTTTAAAAAATACAACAATTTCATTATAATATTTTATAATGCATATTTATAACAGAATGCAAAATACAATTTCGTTATAATATTTATAATGTATATTTACAACGGAATGCAAAGATGGGTTAAATCGTATTGTAATAAAATGAATTGAATCTAATGGAAATAAAATGTTCCATTTAAGTTGAATATTTTAATTATTTTAACCGTTATTATAAATAGAAATGGTAAAATTTAGTAGCATTTATAATAGGGAATTTATCAAGAAATATGTTGGATTATTTATTACAGTGAATAAAATATGTGTATTATATGGTGTCCATTTCAGGGGATCGAAGAAGAGCGTGCTATTCTACACCACCGATTACGGGGACGAGAAAGAAGATCTAGGAATCAAGCTTCAGCAACGATCAGTTTCTCTGGTAAGTTTTTCAGAAAAGTGTTCCTATTTTTTATTATTATCTACTAACTTCAGTTCCATATGCATCACAGTTATAATTTTCCTTCAAATCGTGAACCATATTGTTTTTATAATAAAATAAACCGTAATTTGTAATTGAATTTTGTTCAAAAGAAATATTGAAAAAGAACAGCACGTCTTCGACAGGACGCGTCCGAGCAACTCGGAACAGTTCGGCAATCTTCGATAATTTTCGACGCACGCGACGGTTACCGATCAGTGACGGTTGACACATGGCGATTAGAATAAATTTAAGAGCCGAATAGTTAACACGTGTAGTGTAAATAGGAAAAATAGTAAACACATATAATTAATAAATTGTTAAATTAAAAAAGAGTTGTGGCGATCGCTTCAATATCCTAACAGTATTCAAATGACAGTGAAATTGTTAAAGGTTTTTGTGCACCGATACAAAGAGGAGAACCGTGTCGACTTTGTCGAGTATTGGAAACTGAATCAGAATTTGCAAGATGACAGTAGAAATCAGCAATGTTATCTAGAAAGTTCCTTGCTCATAATTGAGGTTATGCCACCAATATTTTACAATTTGTAGTTTTTGATAGAATAGTTCGTGTTACTAGAATTCAAAACTCTCGTCAGTGACGTAAAATGTTCTAGACAAAAATTCGATTAAACTATAGTTCTGTACAATATTCATCCTTACTTATGCAATTAAATCTAGATAAACTTCGACAGATTTAATCCATTAGGAGCATATTTTACTAGCAATTGGAAACAGCGTGTCCATGTCACTTTACAATATAAACCGTATGCAAAATGGCGGGAAAATATGGAACAGAACGTACACAAATATTTGGAAAAATATGGAGATTTTATCGTCGGATAAAATCGAATAGTAACTTTTTCAGAATTAAAGCTAGAAATTGAAGGTAAGAATTTGCCTAAAAATTAAATTTGACAGATTTCACGTCACTGAGAACATATTGGGTTGTTTTGCGTCAAAGTCAATACTCATACGAAAATAACAGAATTATTTATAGGACGTTATTATAGATAGACGTGTATCCAAAGAATTTTCGGTCACAGTTTATTTTGAGCGAGTGGAAAACAATATGCAATTAAGTAAAAATATAAAAGACGTACTGATCGATATTTTCGAATCCGCTTTCCATGCAAAATTCCCAAACCACTCGAATAGAATTTTGCGTCAGTACAAAGGTGCACGCTAACGCATTCCCAATGGAGAACGCGTTAATACGTCATAGCCGTATATATCTGCAATTTTCACGGATGACGTACTGGCTATCTTCGCAAATGAAGTATTGATACATCAGAGTTACTCGTTATTTCAGCAACCGTGAACAACGCAATGTATCAATATATATTTAACCGCGTTTTTAATCTGAAGCATTTCAATTTGACTTGATTGAACTCATTGTGGTTATACACGGTATTATGAAAAGAAATTAAACGCTTTGAGATAAGAATTCATCTAGTAGATTGTAGGGAAAATGGATGAAGAAATGCATGATATTGAAGGGTAGAAGAAATTTTTTGATTCATTTAGAAGCATGGTAATTTGAGAATGAGGGTATTGGAAAATTTTAAGAAGTTTAGGTATTCAAATTTTGGAATATAAAAATTCAGGAATTTAGAAATTTTAGAAATCAGGGATTTAGAAATTTCAGAATTTAAGAATTCAAAAATTTAGGAATTCAAGAATTTAGGAATTTAAAAATGCAAGAATTTAGTAATTCAAGAATTTCAGAATTTCAGAATTTTGGAATTCAAGAATGCAAGAATTTGGGAATTCAAAAATTTCAGAATTTAGGAATTTATGAATGCAAGAATTTAGGAATTGAAGAATTTAATAATTGAGAAATGTAGTAACTTAGCAATTCAGAAATTCATAAATTTAGGAGTTCAGGCAATTAGGTTTTTAAGAATTCAAGAATTTAGGAATTCAAGAATTTGAGGATTTAGGAATTTAAGAATGCAAGAATTTCAGAATTTAGGAATTTAAAAATGCAAGAATTTAGTAATTCAAGAATTTAAGAATTTTGGAATTCAAGAATTTAAGAATTTAAGAATTTAAGAATTTAGGAATTTATGAATGCAAGAATTTAGGAATTCAAGAATTCAAGAATTTAATAATTGAGAAATGTAGTAACTTAGAAGTTCAGAAGTTCATAAATTTAAGAGTTCAGGCATTTAGGTTTTTAAGTATTTAAGAATTTGAGAATTTTGGAATTCAAGAATGTAAGAATTTATGAATTTATGAATACAAGAATTGAGGAAATCAAGAATTTAGGAATTGAAGAATTTAATAATTGAGAAATGTAGTAACTTAGCAATTCAGAAATGCATAAATTTAGGAATTCAGGAATTTTGGTTTTTAAGAATTCAAGAATTTAGGAATTTAAAAATTTTGCAATTTAAACATTTGGAAAGTAAACGTATAGGAATTGGGGAATTCAGAAATTCAAAAAAGTGATTATTTGATTAATTAAACACCAAATTGGTTCCCTAAGTTTAAAAAATCAGTAAAACAAATTTTTGAAATCGTGAGTTTCAAAAATCACTAAAAAATATTTTTGAAATAGTAATTTTCAAAAATCATTAGAAACATTTTTTGAAATAGTGATTTTCAAAAATTCTATAATTAACAATAGTATAATGTATTATATAATAAAAATAGAATAAAATTTATAAATTTGCGGATATAAGTAAAAAAATGTTGCATTTTAGAAATTCCTAAATTTGAGAATTTAAAAATATACATGTTTAAAAATTTAGGATTTTTACAGTGTTTCACTCAGACAACATCCAAGGGCCTCCGACATTAATTGAACATATCTCGAAGGAACAAAGAGCGTCTAAGTTAGAAAACCATTACCGGCGATATAGGCAATAGCGCTCTGTCATGGAACTTCCCGCTGGCTGATCGTGCCGCTTGAACGAAGTTAATTGAAGCGATTAAATGCAACCTTGCTTCGCAACGGGTTGTCTTCACTTTCGTTAATCATCGAAGATCGTGGGTGTGCTGGTCGAGCAAGCACATCCTGAACACGAGAAAAAGAACTAGTAATCATCGTCGAAGCTGGGTGCTTTTTGCTAGTTCCCCACACCCGGAAGACCGTATACACGGATAGCAGTTAGGTTCGTCAACTCCTAACCCCAGGATTAATTAGCGACGTCGACGTAGGACGACTCGGTTCTTGCGATCTTTATCGAACAAGGGTGATCGTCAAATTCCCCTTCGCCTGTTTCTTTATCATGAGATTGAACGTACCGATAGAAAGAGAAATCATTTGATACCGGTAACCTTTGTGGCCAGTGTTTTGAGAATTGAACAGCTCATATGACTAGTGGTATTTCAGTAAAACTGTTTTTGTTGGTGATTTTGTAATACATAGTAGAAAGGTAGAATTATTTTGATGAAATTTTTTTTATATAAAAGAATTTTTTGAGTAGGTTATAAGATTTTTGTTGGAACTAAAGATTTTTTGGATTTTTTAGTTTCTGTATTTTTGGGTCTTTCGGCTTTTAAATTTCTAAATTTCTAAATTTCTGAATTGCAAAGTTTGAAATTGCTAGAATTACTACAATTTCAAATTTTTATTTTTTGAGTTTTTGAATTTCTCAAATTCCTAACTTTCCAAATTCTCAATTTCTCAAATTTCTAAATTCTCACAGTCTCCATTTCTTGAATTCCTAAATTTTTAATTTAGGATATTTACAAATTTTCATATTCCCAAATTTTTTCATTCTGAATTTTTAAATTTTTAAAATTTTCAATTTTTCACATTTCTAAATTGTTTTTTTTTTATTCACGAATTTTTCTAATTCGAAAATACTCAATTTCTCAAATCTTCAAATTTCTACATTTTTAAATTTTTAAGTTCTCAATTTTCTACATTTATAAATTTTGAAAACCACAATTTCTAAAATTCTTAAATATTAAAATTCAAAATTTTTCATATTTCAAAATTGTCAAAAAAATATTTAATAAATATTTAATAAATTATTATTTAATTCTTTATTCTGCACTGTTTTCATTAAAACATGTGAGAGCTAATTGAATTCGATACGTTTTAATTTTGTTGTGTATCAGTCTGACACAATTCAGTTTTATATATTTCAATCGAACGAGTTTGATTCGACGCGATTTAATTACCAATATTCGTTTAGTGAGGACATTTTTCATATTCCGTAACTGAATTCGTTCAGCAAATTTTATTGAAGGTAGAACATTTTCTATATATTCATAAAGTTACTCTTCCATGTTCGGGATCTCACCTTGTTAATTACTCTTAGTCAATATTAATTGACGTGTCATAATCTCGAACCCTAACGCAACCACCCTAAATTACCATCTTGATTTAGACCGTAGTGGCACGTGGTACATAAATGGATCTAAAGTGGATAAACTTGCGAGTGAAACATTTCCAACAGCATGTAATATATCTTACTGCAATATTATGTAATTACTAGTTCTGTGTAATGACTAATTTAATGTTGTACAGTGATTGATGTGACTAATCTATTTTCTAAATACTGCATAAGATTGTACAATTCAAAAACCAGTATTTTTTTATGCAAATTGTGAAGTGTATAACTATTTTCTGTAGAACTCTTCAAAATGTCACAACTCCTCTGATTTTATTTAATAAATGTAATTTAGATTGTGAAGAATGATAAACTTAAAATATTAACTACAGCTGATCAGTTATTTTTTATAAATATAAAAATTATAGACCATAAAATATGCTAGTACTATATTCACATTCAGGACATTTTAATTTCCAAATTAAACATGTTAATTTTTCTGAAGTACTCAATTTCTAATACCCATAAATTTCTAATTGTTATATTTTTAATTTCTATGATTCTAAATGTCTAATTATTACATTTATAGTTCTCATATTTTTAAATTTCAAGTTTCTTAATTATCAAAATATTAAATATTCAAATCTTCAAATACCATAATTTTCAAATTTT